AATGATGTGAATACTTAGCTAAGGAGAATAAAAAAAAACGCCGAGTCAGCATGATGATGCGCATATCTGGCCAAAGAGAACAGAAAAAAAGTTGAGTCTGCATGATGGAGACACTTATTTGTGTATATAAACGCACCAAAGTCACCTATATGTCTACTAAACTAATCGAAAAAACGATCATCAATACAAACAACGATTACTACAGTATAAAAATAACATGGGCAAACTCGATGGAAAGATTGCTCTCATCACGGGTGGTTCTGCCGGCATTGGCTTTGCGACTGCTCAACGGTTCATAGCCGAAGGCGCAGCACATGTCTTCATCACTGGACGACGCCAAGAAGCGCTCGATGAAGCTGTCGAAAAGCTTGGTGGCAAGAACGTAACCGCAATACAAGGGGATACTTCCAATCTGGCCGATCTCGACAAGCTATACAACATAATTAAGAAACAGGAGGGTCATTTAGACATTCTCTTCGCCAATGCAGGTGTAGGTGAGTTTGCACCACTTGGCTCGATTACCGAAAAACACTTTGACGACATATTCAACGCCAATGTGAAAGGAGTACTGTTCACCGTTCAAAAAGTGTTGCCGATTTTCAAGGATGGTGGGTCGATCATCTTAAATGCATCAATTGTTTCCGTTAAAGCAACCCCAGCGTTTAGTGTCTACAGCGCTACAAAGGCGGCTATTCGGTCTTTCGCAAGATGTTGGACTCTAGATTTGAAAGAACGCAAGATTCGGGTCAATGCTTTGAGTCCAGGACCAATCGATACACCAGGATTACGAGGCCTAGGCAAGAATGAAGCGGAACAAAAATTGTTCGTCGCTACGATGGAAGCTAATGCACCTATGAATCGTCTTGGCACGCCTGATGAGATTGCCAAAGTAGCAGTCTTTCTTGCTTCGGACGACAGCAGTTATGTGACAGGAATTGAGCTTTTCGTCGATGGTGGTACAGCACAGATCTAAAATATTTATTTTGTACACTAAATGTTTTAATAAAATGTATTCATTTTGACATTTGGCTAATAATGACAATCATTTCTTGAGTTTCAAACACGAATATTCCAGTGTGAAAGCTGTCATACATATCTTAATACCGCAAAATGGTTGAATTCATAAAGAAAAATGATCGAATTTTTGTTTTAGTAGATTCAAATATTGGATATTGTCGTTTGGGTTAAAATTGAATAAACGACAGCGAGAAGTATATGAACAATCAGTGGTACAGTTCGGACGCTTTTGAGCCAGAGACTGAAAAGAATAGGAAAATCTCGATTCCGATCCCATCCACTTTCTTCTATTACCTATTTTTTCACAATTTTGTTTTCTGTTAATGATAGTTGTTTTTCATATGTGATTTAAGAATACATTTTCAAGGATCATTTATTGATATAATTGATCATCAAGCTATTCTGCGAACTTTTACAAATACAATATATGGACAAACGGCTTGTATCACAGATTATTTCAACGACCTAAAGGCTTTATAGCAGGTTTACTCGCTTCCATTCATATTTACTCATCTAGAAAAGATCACGACTTATTTTTCAACTATTATATTTGACACTATACCTCATTTGCATGCCTATGATATAGTTGCAATAAAACATGAATTCTTCATGCGAATTAGTCGAACTTTTCCATTGCTGAAAATTCATCTTATCCAGTTATTGAATGTTTTCATCTTACATCACTTGATAACACACGTGCGAATACAGATTATGCTATACAATTTTTACTTGAAACAAAGACACATGTATCTCGTCGGACTGAGTTAAAATTCAAGTATTAGAGATTAAAATTCTAACAATGAACTTTACAAGAGATGAAACACGACGCAATTATTCTATAGTGAAACAATTACTTGTCGAATGGCCAAGAGTTTTTTCAAAAGATGTTTATGAATATTTTTCTTCATTATACATTGAACTTTACTACTCATTTTACGAAAAATGAACTATATAGAAATTTTCATATTCTAATAATAAAATCACAAAGAGGGTGTGGGTGTGTGAGTGCGAGTCTTGCTGACAGTGTTTATCTACTTTCAATCAATACTCACATCCGCACTCACCCACACCTACATTCCAACTGAAACTTCATCATAATTGATGGATCGTAATAAATCCTAATCGCTTCTCGCGTAGCTGTGGCTTTTCATGCAATTATAGTGATGATTCTAATTCACACCCTAATATCAAATATACCTATTTTAAAACTTGTTAGACATGAAGAAGAAGATTTTATATTTGTATGTGAGTCCAATGATTTTGGACATGGTTTTTCCATCTGCAGGAGAACGACATCTAGCACATACGTTGTTTCTTTGGATAATTTCTTCTCTATATACCAACCATTTATATTACTCTATTTCTGTAAATAAATCCAGTTTGACATGTGCAATATAGTTATTAAACATTTTGTTTAATCACAAAATGTGCCAATCCCTTTCTATATGAGAATTTCAATTTTCTTTTGAGTGCACTTCAACTACTAAAAAGAAAAGTAAGAAATCAATGATAGACAGAAAATCATCTAGAAGATAACAACATATTTTTTCACCGAACTATTAGATTTCACCCACAAGAAACCAAAGAATCATACATAGGAAAAATAAAAACATTTTCCCCAGAAAGAAATATTTGTTCAGTAAACATGCTGTGTATGTCTATATGAATCTATTTCTAAAAAACGTAGACTAAAGCTAATTATACTTCTGTCATCACTGCTGACATTTTATATTGTTTGCTTATTTCTGTTAGATGTACATTTTTTTTAGATCGATTGATCAAATATATGCATACAATGTGTGAATAAGTACTAACAATCTCATTCTATGATGACTTCCTTTTGGAAAATATTCGTTAAAAGAGAGCACCAGAAAGAAACGAGTTTATAGAAACATGAAAAGTTACCTTATTGATGATAAATACATCCTCAGTTGATAAGAATACATTCTGTATCGGAACAAAAGCATTTTTACCTATTTCATGTTTCCATGAAATACTTTTCTTCCGTCCATAATCGTTTTCCTCATTGATAAAACACTTTCTGAACCATTTCATTATCTATTCTAAGACTTCCGCTTTTGTTCTATTTCAAAATGGTTAGAATATAATTTAATGCAAAGATGATTACTGTTATGTTTTCGACAAGAATATTCAAGAATGAGTTCTTCGAAATAATGGACGCATTCTAAATGATCTAATATTATTCCTTGAAAGAAAACAGCGTTTCTTTAGTCTTTCTCTAAATTGCCTAAACCTTTTTTTTATAGATCAAAAGCCGATTTTCGCAAAATATAATGCAATCACAAACATTTTTTTATTGTAAAGGCATTATTCGCAGCGTACTAGCAAATTACGTGAGTGACATCTTTTCTGAACTGTTCTTTCACTGGAATTCTGATAGATGCTACAATCCGCAAAAATAAAGAAAAAGATAAAATTAGCTCAAAAGCAAAACGAAAATATTTTTTTTTAAAGAAGACATCTATAAAGAAGCTGAAAATATAAGATAACATGAATGCGTCATATTCATATATACCAATGATAATTACATAATTTGAAAAGTTCCCTTTTAACAAATATTCTGTCAAAATTATTTTTTTTTGCTTTTGTCGATGTTTTTGTCTTTGATTGTTTTGTAACAAATAAATCATTTAATTTTCACAAAATAAGCAAAACGATAAGTTTTTAAAGTATTTATATTATTCTTTTTATCTTTATTTCATAGAGAATGAATTAAAATACTGTTCATACTCATATGACTGCGAAATTTATTTTCAAAGAAAGCATTTTAAATAGTATGTTACATGAAAAATATTTTTATGGTATCTGCTTTTATTCTCAGGTTAATGAGTGGCGTCAATTGAACGAATCGAAATGTTTCCCTCTTCTGATCGTACTTTTCAACATATTAGAGATTTCGTTTTAGGTTTATTCGAAAGAGAATTGCCTGCTCTACAAAACGACTGTTTTTGTTCTTTAAATGAACTTTTCGTTGATGAAAAATTTAAAACATAATCACCTACTCAATAGTTTAACCGTGATTTCTGATTTTCTCTAAGTATCCTATAACTTGTCTAATGCTTTTCTGATCAGAGTCAATGCTAAAATCAAAGTATTTGACATCTTTGGAATATCATTTGTGCTTCCTATTCTCATGATATTGTCAAGATTTTGCTGCTGTTGTTCAGAATAAAAAAAATTGAGCCAATCCTCAGTTCTCTTTTGAGATACATTCGAGAAAACATTATGTTCAAAGCAAGAGTTGATATATATAACATGGTTTTTCTCATCCTAGCATATGTAGAATTCATTCCTGAATCAGATATTTCAGTCATATTTGATCACAAATCCTGATTTTCTTGAGCGATGGCGATCTTTAACTGATAAGGAGAGGTGGTGATAGAAAGTATAATGTATTGCGATATGTTTTCCTATGAACAACTACAAATCGTTGTCACTTATCAGTTGTATCAAAAATACATTACTTCGTAAAAAAAAAATTCTTTTCTTCTTTTTTGCTGAAAATAATTCCATTTCGTTTTATTTGAATAAAAAATAAAATAAAACTGTATTAATTACTTCAGATATATATTAAACAAGATTCGAGTGGATAGTGCATCAATATAGATCCAGTGAAAAGGGAACACTCCAGTAAGCTGCACTACTACTGAGTGACATGCTGAAGCGATGGGTTCGAGCTACAGTGTTATGGAATAATTCCAAATTCCGAAGAATTTCGTTCAGCTAAACTATCAAGGTTCAGGAAACAGAAAAGTTTGTTCCATGGGACTTTAGTTTAGGGTCTTCTCTTTGGAGAAGAATTTCATGTGACATAGTACAGGTAAACGAAACTTCGTAACACAAGTGGTTTCCAAAACTAGACAAGACCCTACTCCTTAAAAATTTCGGATTGCTCTTGATCTTAGTTCGTTTCTTCTAGATTTAATTGTCCATATCAATCAACAAAAAGTTTATCAGGATCAATGGACCAATTAGCATTATCATCAATCTCTAACGAGCTGCAAGTTCCTAACGAAAAATACTTTTCACTCTCGGATGGTCGTCAATTAGCGTATACTGAACAAGGTGATACCGATAGTAATAAAATTATTATCTTTTTTCACGGAGCATTTGGTGTTGGTCATTCTTTAAATCAGAATAATTGTTATAAAGAAATTAGATATCATTTTATTATGCCTACGCTTCCTGGTTGGGGTAATAGTTCATCATGGCCGATAAATCAGCCAATTTCAAATTATCCTAATGATATTCATCAATTACTATCATTGTTGAAGAAAAATGTTAATGAAAATCTTCGAATTGTTGTAGCTGGTAGCAGTTATGGATCTGTTTTTGCTCAAATTTGCTTTGGTACATCAATTGATATAATGCCTGAAATTATCAATATTCAATCATTAATTATCTTATCTGGTTTCTCACCATTTAAATATCATAAAAAATATACTACTGGAATGACTTGGTCCAATTATTTTGCAATCGGTAAACCGGGTATCTATTTTCCTGTTATTTTAAAATTAGTAGGATTATATATTCAAAAGAAAGTTCGTCATATTGAAGAAATCAAAAGACTTGTACGAAAAAAATTCTTTGATCAATTGAGTGACGAGGAGAAGGTCAAGTTAAGTAAATGGGAAGAAGAAAATAATAAGACAGCAGAATGGGCTATTGATATAATATCAAGATGTATATGTTGAAGTGTATCTAAAACAATGACTGGTTTCAATAATATACCGCATGTTTTACATTCAGACTGGGGTTTTGATCCAAAGAAGCTTGCATCAACACCAAAACGAAAAGTATTGATTGTAGCTACACAAGGAGATGAAATTTCTCATATGGAAATGTCAACATATTTAGTTGAAAGTTATCCTAATGCAGAAATCAAAATTTTTAGTGGAGGTCATTTGGGTACATTTTTTGAATTGGATATAATTATAAAAAATTGGCTGATAGATCTTGACAAAGAATTTGATGAAAGAACATAATTGAATGAACAAGCGTCATGTTCTTAATTGTAATGTATCAATCGATCGTCTGTTTGCTGAAATCTTTTGATGTAAACTATCTCCTCGATTATTTCTTAGATGTGACATTTTAAAAATTATTTTTGTCTTTACATGTCGTGTTTATTATAGTCTGTAGAGTAAAAATTCTAGCATTTGTCAAATGTTAAATAAGTTATTTTACTTGTGTATTCGTATGTTTATTTGAAATACGTTCGTATCGTCATTCCTTTATAGATTGCCATCTCTTAATCTTTAATGAACTTTTTGATTTTTTTCTGAAGCACTATTTTTAATATGTGTTGAAATAAATCGAGACAAACCTGAAGCGTCATCCAAATGAAAATAATTCACATTTTAGTATTTTCTTTACAAAGATTCGAATACAGTTGCATATGTAAAAAAAACCATGAGAAAATTAAGCTTTGAACTCTTTGTGGTGTTAAACCTTTGTAATTCAAAACGAAAAAAAAACAATTACTGATATATATTTAAATTGCATTTTTCTCCTAGATAAATATTCTCGAATATACAATAAGTAAATTTACAATGCCTTCAAATGTTTATAATATGAATTTAAAGTCATTTATCATTCACTTAAACTTTCTTATTCAGAGAGACATATCATTACATAAGAAGTATGTATTTTTTTTCAGTTTCTCATTTAGCTCTCAACTCATAGGAAAACATTGCTCTATCTCGTAATGATTTTTACTTCATGATCAGAACCTATTTCTTTCAATATGTGAACGTACTCACAAATCGACAGCACTCTATGCTTACACAGCAGAATCGTGCATTGTGGCGCGTTGACAAACCTGACACAACCGCTACTAGTCATTGAACTTATCCTCCGTAGGAAAGAACTTGCCGGGTTTACCAACCCGATTTGTTGCAGGATTCTATTACGCAGGACTGCACATGCATTACGTTTGTCTTTAAGTAAATAAACAGTATATATTGAAAACTGTTTTCTATGATTGCAAGTATATTAATAAGTAACGATAACTATGCTAGATAAAAAAAGTAAGCAGAGTCGAATCAAATTAATTAAGTTTCAAGAAAAACACTGTACATAACTTTCAGCCCTCTCAAAAAAGTCCATTTGTACAAAAACATCGAAAATAGGAATAAATGGGTGGGATAATAGACAGAAGTCTGCTCTTTCAGAAATGCTATAGATTTCTATCGAATACTTGGTTTTTCCCAGAACTTTTGCATAATTTTCATGAACCCCTACTAGAAGACTAGGCTATTTTCAAGAAAAGTGAAAATTTTCTTCTTTTGATCAATATCTGCCGCAAGCATCGTAATATAGGGCTGAAAAATTTTAACATAGCTTCTCCACAGTGACCCCAACATATCCTGAAAATTTTATGGAATTTGAAGTTTCCTGGGCTGAGACCGTTTTCGGAGAGGAGCTTATGTTAAATACCTTATGAAGTAGTGCTATAGTGTATGTTTTACATTTTGAGTATTGAAGAAACCATTAGAAGAACACTGTTTGGATTTGTTTATATAGTGTTTTTCTACAGCTTTTCAGAACAATTCTTCTGATCAAAAAAAATGAAAATCTTATCATTTGTATGCACAGAGAAATTCTTAAAAAGAAAATGTGTTTCTACGACAGTCAGTATTTCAAAAACTTGTTCTGTATTTTTCTCAGAGCATAGGTTCGGCGAGGTATTTCGAACGCCATACTGTCGTAGTAAGACATAAAGTCAAATGTTTTTTTTTTGTTCAAAAGCTTGTGTTTATGGCTGGCATCTCTCGTGGTCCTTTTTTTAAAAAACCTTAAACAAAGAAAAAATCTTATTATTTTCCTCAAAATTGCACTATTTTCATAGAATGTTTCAGTATTTTTTTGGACCATGGCACAACACACGGGTGAAAAATTAAGACGAAAAAGAAATTTTAAAAAAAGGCGACGAGAGTCGCTAGCCCTAGGTGCCTTATTTAAAATGTAAAAAGAAAATCTGCTCTATGCTTCCAGATAGTCCAGTTATCTTGAAGATACTGAAGGTACCAAAATGGATACTAAAATTGACCTGGGTTCCTCTTAGAAAAAGATACAAGGCTGAAATTTTTCTTCGTTTATGTCTATCCATCCCCATTATATCCCCAAAGTTTCAGCTCAATAGCGCGTTCTGGCTTGGAGAGCATATTTTGAGAGGAATCTTAATAATGACTTCTTCCTTTTTACTTATATAGGCGTGGGTGTGAGTGTAAATTAAATGATCCCTGAGACTCACCCACACCCACATCCTGGTCGAACTTCAATTGAAGCACCATTTACTGAATGACTTTGTTAACGTAAAACTTATGCTGCGTATGTAGACTGTGAATGGATGTAGTT